ATGGGAGTAGAAATGAGCCAGCCATTTCCTGTCCCAAGATTCAAATCCACTTTGCTTTTCTGAAAACATAATTCAAGTGATCCAACAATAATTTAATTGATTGTTGTGTAAATTATAGTGCTGACCACCATATAAACAAATGCCAGAAGAGCATTCATCACTGGCTGTCATTTTTCTGATACACTTCAGAACTTTCTACTTAAGTAATCACAAAGCAATGTACTACACAAGGTAATGAAAAAGCAGGTCTGTTTTGTATGCAAGCATCATTTGTTATGCGTGCATAATATACATCTTAGATGATGACTGAGCTGTGAGAAAAATGTAATCAGCACAAGGAACCTAAAATACAACAACTATCTAACAAGAGTGCCACGGGATCCTTGGCTTTGAAGGGATTGTTTCCCAGTGCTGTAAGTCCATCCCACAGCTGGTCAGATGGTGATATTCAGGGGTCAGTGCCAACGAGAATAAGAAACGTGTACCATAGGGCTCTCTGGGTCCTGCTCTGCTTGGAAATCTTATATCCTTGGATAAAAATACAAAAGATAAGTTTATCTTCGCTGTGGATGGCGTCCTATTGAGATAATTGGAAGTAGAATTAGGACAAAATATGACATGCTGACTGAACAGCTGACTCTGACAGTAGAAGATCTCGGGATGATAGTGCTGACTTGGTTTCTGCCCAGAAAAAAATAGGAGGTCTTAAAGTTGAAAAGGAGGAATAAATGGTAAATTTGGAAGACAGTGTATTTATAAGGATTATAAATTGTGACTATGTGGTCAACTCTCTATTTGTCAACAAGGTAAACAGTTGCCAGAAAAAGCAAGTCAGATTTGGGGTGGTAGTAAAAGAAAATAAATAAATAAAAGAAATATCAGACAAATATCAGTCTCCATTCCCTACTGGTCAGCTCACACTTTAACTATGAGGTTGACTTTAGAAGATGTACTTCTAGAATAATATAGACACAATTCAATTTATGAGGCAGTTAATAATGAATGATAAAAAACTAAATGGCAGGCATAAAAGACGTCAGGCTGAGACAAGAACCTGATATATGCCTTGAAATATGTCAATATTAGTCATTTTTAAATGTGCCATAAATTGTAACAAGTTGTAGAAGAGTCCATAAATGTACATTTCTAAGGACTTATTTGAGAAAGCTCTCTGTAGCAGTCAGACTGTCCACAAAGAAGCTAGAAGAAAATATTCTTTTGCCAAAAATGGAGTTGGATATATGCTTTTAATTGTATAAAAATACATTTATGAGTATTCTTTATGTTCCAATCACCGTTATGTCCTAGAAACATGAGAGCGAGCAATATAGATATTCTCACTTCTGCCATCTAGGTCACTTCTGAGCTAGATGGAGAGAGAAAACCTAAGTAGATAATTGTGCATTGTGCTATCTGAAATGAAAGAACTATGGAAAATTTATAACTCCAGAGAGGATCAATAGAGTGTTTATTAAATGTAGAGTATACATTATGAATTGTTAAGAAAAGCACTTTTCAGGGACTCATTAAAGACATGGCTTAAAGATGAATAGGAGTTGGTCAGATGAAGAATGACAAAAAAGAAACAGGAGAACACACTCTAGGTCAACGAAAGCATGCTTTCTTATTTTTGTGTGCGAATCCAGAAAAAGCTTAGTGCATTGAGAAGCTGATAAAATACCGGTGTGGCATTTGTTCATATTTGTCAATGTCATTGGCCCCTGGGAGGTACTCTGGGAGGTGCTCTGTCGCATAGGCGGGTAGGTGGATGGAAGGACGGGTGAAGGGACGGATGAACGGGTGCTCATCTCATAAATGCTCCATCTCAGTCCTCTTTTTACTCTAGGGAGTGAGACAAGAAGAAACAGACTGGAACAATAGGCAACGAGCTTTGAAAACCTTGTTTTGGAACATAAATTTCACTTAAAGGCAGTGGGGATTCATTAGAGGCTCAGCATAATCACTTTTGTGTTTTATGGGGTTCACATTGGCTATAATGTTGAAAACAGATGGGAGACAAGAGGGGGAAGACTGCATGGAGAGTGACCCCATTATATGTCGGCAGAGAGAATTGTGACTCGAATATGGTGGTGACACTGGAGATGACAGAAGAGGGTGGAGGAGAGTGATTCTAAGGGGTTCAGTCCGTAAGACCTGGTGCTCAAATGTGAGAGACAGGGAGGGAGGGAGAGGTCTAGACCTCCAGAACTCCCATGAGGTGACCTTTCTGAAGAACCCAGCACAACCGATCCACAATTCCAGGTGGTAACTGTGTTATTCATCTTTCTGTCAACATAACAAAATATTTGAGATAATTTATGAAAAAAATGTATTTTGCACCCCAGTTTTCGAGGCTCCAGTCCATGGTATGTTGGGCCTGTGGTGATGCTACCCATCGTACTGGGAGTACATGATAGAATGCAACTCCTCAGCTCATGGTCAGAAGGAAAGAGTGAGAAAAGAGGGCCTGGGGTTCACAATCTCCTTCAAGGGTGCACCCCATACATCCCACCTCTTAAATGCTCCTCACAGTAGGACAAGCAGAAACCAGGCGTTTGATGCGTAGATACCCTTGGGGAATACTTATCCAAGCCATAGCAATAATCCATCAAATCATATTTTCTTTTTGATCAGGGGGAATGGGAGTGGGGAGAAATGAAATATAAAAAAATGGAAGCATATGAATAACCAAGTGTAGGTGTAGAGGGAGAATTGGCCAGAGGAAAAAGCAAAGAAAAAACAGAAATAGAGTCACAAGTCTGACATCAGTATGACGAGGCTCATGTGATACTTACTTTCGAGTCAATGACAGTGTGACAAGATTCCCAGTTCATTACAGTGCAGTTATTCAGGAAGTAATTGAGTACCTACTATGTACCAGATATTGTTCTAGCTGGTGAGGATATTCATATGGACAAAATTGCACGGTGTCTGAGAAGGGGAGACCTTAATGAGCTTAGGAGAGGGCAGCAGTCTACAGATCAAGGTGAAATGGTGTAAGTGGGAGGGACTATCTCTCCTGACCTTGACTTTGATACCAAGTAACACCTCACACCTGAGTAAGAGAGAAGGAAGGAGTCTTCCTAGTTTTTTTTTTTTGCATGTTTTGTTTTGTTTTACTAATCAGTTCCTCACTGGATCCTTCATAAAGTCCTAGTTGATTTTTTGTCGCAGCAAATTTTGTCAAAACTGTTAATCACATCTGTTGGTACTTTGCTCTCACATGAAACATTTTAAATCTTAGTAATTCCATGTTCCATTGCAATATGAAGAATTATACATCTCAAGAAATTGTATTACTATACTTAGCATCTCAATAACACTTCCTTTGTTGTTATGTTTTCTATGATTAAATCTTCTTAATATGTTCGCAATGCACCATATGTTACCACTGCTTAATTTTGTCTTGAAGTATTCATTTTTAAGCTTTTCGGGACAGATACACTGAATAAAACATGGATTTGTCTTTCTCTTTCTTCATAAGCAGAAGAGTCACAAAGATATTTATTGGCTATAAATGAGAAATTAAAGGACTGGTATTAAGACCCTAACATCCTCTGGAAAGAATTACTGTGCTTTCTTAAGCCTATAACTCATGACCACACATGGTTGTTACTGAGGGGTAAGGTCAGGGGGCTCAACTGTATAAGCATATATGAAAAGTGTACAACAGAACCAACTTTCTTAAGTATTAGGATTCCACATTCTCAGGTTATTGTAAAGCTAAATATAATGAGTGCCATGGGCTCTCAGGGCTTTGAGTTTAAGATTTTCCTTTAAAAATAATACTATTATTCTCTGAGGATGTGATAGCAGCATTGCTTAATTTAGCATAAGCTAAGCCAAAATAGAACAGAGGAAATAATTAAATGAGTGAACACATATTTTTCAATCATTGCCCATTGATGTCAGAACTGATGTGTCTTGAAAATGTGAAATCACTTAACATGGGAAAAATATCTTTAAAATGATTATGCTTATCCTCACGCAGGATGCCTAGTAGTCTTAATAATTACTCTGGAGTAAACGACCATGTTGATGATTGGATTATTTACTACAGTCTTACCACAAGCCAATATGGTGTTTGTTAGCTACACAGGAAGGAAGTTTACCAACAGTAGCTATTAATACCTCCCTTATATCCCACCTCCCCAGAAAGTCCCCAGATGTGGAGAGAACACAGAGTGGAAAATTTCACTCCCAATTTAGACATATCTGCAGCCTCCAGAGGAAGCTGCTTGAGGCCTCCCGTGCAGTAGAAGTGGAGCTGGACCGTCACGTGATGAGCCCCCTCCCCCCCGCCAACAGCCCCAGCCTGGCTGGAACACGAGGTGCTTGATTGAACAGATTCTGCCCCCTCTCAGGGATATTTCTGTGTGAGAAATCAAAGAATCCTTCCCGAGAATTGATGTTCACCAAAACACTGATACACTTACGTGTAATTCCAGCAGTTCCAGTTTTGAAGAAAATTTTTGGAAAAGTGCCCCAACTCAAACTAGCATTCCTAACTGTTACTCAGCAGTTGTTACAATGAGAGCAAGTAACTGTTTGCTTGTGTGTCTTAGAGCCTCTCCTGACAGGAGGCAAGGAGGCCACACTTCAGAGCGAATCTCCCCCAAATTCGTTATTCTGCTTTGCTTAAGCCAAGAAAAAAATAGTAATCATTTTCTAATACTGGCAAGAGTAGAGATTCTGGAAAAGATGCTTCAAAGAAAATACACGAAGAAAAAGAAAAGAAAAATCTTTATCATCAATTTGGAAGCTGAATTTCCAGACTAAGGTTCTGAGATCCCTAATTATTGCTTCTTCGATCACCTATTCTACTCAAGGAAACCGAGTTCTAAATAGAAAGCGTCTCACTGAATGAATGTCACACTGCCGGGCTGTACAGCAGAGACCACGTCTAACTTGTTTTAGTGGATGGTCCCGCGGCACAGCCGGCCTGCTCAGTACTCACGACGCAGTACTCCTGACACCGCAGGCACGACCCGGGACAGTACCTTTCATGGCGGGCGGTGTATACACGCTCTGCTTCCTCTGCTTCGGGGACGCGTTCTGTGGCTGTGGACAAAGAGAAAGGAGAGACAGTGTTAGACTTGGATAAAAACTACACGGCCATCACACCCGCCAGGGAAATGAGCCCTGTGCCTTACTTCAGAGGGCTTCCTGACGTCTGCATCAAGAAAGAGAACCGTCAGTTGGAAACTGGATAAAGAAGATGTGGTTTTTCTAGAAAATGGGATACTACTCAGCCATAAAGAATGAGAAATTAGATTCACTCATAGGAAAATGGGTGCATTTTGAGGATATACTCCTAAGCGAAATAAATAAGTCACACATGTGTAAATACCAAATAGGTTCTCTGGTGTGAAAAACTAAAACAGTACTCAAGATCCTAACGGGACAATTAGCAACGTGAAATAGGAAGAAAAGGACCAAAGGCGTAGGGACAGTGAGATGGATAGGGAAAGGGGAACAAGGGAAAAGGAAAAAAATATGAAAAAATGTAAAAATGGAATTCAAGTGTTTGAAGGTGGGGAGGGGAGGAGGGGGTGAAGGGAGGGTGGGGACAAGGGGAAAAAATGAGAACCAAGACCTGGCATGTAAAGGTACAAGATCCCAGTAATGAATGTGACTGTACTGTCTACCTAAAATGTACCAATAAATTCAATTTAAATTACAAAAAAAAAGAAAGAGAACTGTAATCAATGAGAACTCATGAACATGTTCAGTGATACATGGGCCAGTGGTAGTGAGGCTGTAAACTCTATTTTATCACAGTGTTCTTCAACTGCAGTCTTAAAATGACTCCTTTTACTATCTCACCAAGTAACACTATTTTCAAAAGAGGAGAAAAAGGCATCAATCCATCGAGGAGAGAAAACCTGAGCTCTGACACGAAGTATACCTCAACAGCTATGCCTGTGGAGTAATAATACCTGTTCACAGAATCATTGAGAGGTACGAGGAGGACTTTTGGTAACTAACCACAATCTATAAGCCTCTATAAATTGACATGCCCAGGTCTAAATGTCTCCATTTCTTTGGAGGGACAAGATCACCTTATTTGTTCAAAAATATTTTCTTAACAAAGTTGCTATCTAACCCCCTTACCTTGGCATGCTGGATCAGGATTAAGTTAGTGAAGAAGATATTTTTCCATTTAAAAATGACAAAATAGGAACATATTTCACTGTCAAAACCACCATTCCATAATGTTATGAAAATCTGTATATAAGATTTTGCCTTAAAGAACTTCTTTATAACATATGAATTTGTATTTTTTAAGGGGCAGGGGCAGGAATCTTAATGAGTTTTAGTGAGAGCAATTATTTTGCTTTGAAAAGGTGAAGTACATTTAGTAAAATATATATCATAACCAGACACTTTTGGGAAGACTGTTCTATGCTTTCCATGCATATTAGAAAGAACACAATGAAAAAAACTTGAAAGAAATTAGAATCTGTCTCGTAAAGTTATAAATAGAACCAAGACATTTTTTCTTTGTTCAAATTAAAGCTTAGTGGCCCTCAAAGTCTTTATCAAGATTTGACATTTACCTGATATAAAAGAAGTCTATTAAAAAGTAAATAGTTCACCCAGTTGCCAAATGCCTATTAACTGAGCAAATAGTACAAACAAATTTCTCAGGAGTAGAATGCTTTGGTCTGACACACACAGGTGCAGGCAGGGTGATAACTAACGCTAAATGCATGAATAATTGACGTTTCTGGGCACTTTCATTGTTCCAGTCATGCCCAGTTGATTTTGAGAAACAGAAACTTCTGGAACTTCTTTTGTATCTTCCATACACATATTCAAAGATCAAGTATAAAATTAATTGCAGGAAAGTGCCTTTTTGTTGTTTAAGAACACAGAATTAAGCTTAGGCGATAAAAACTATAGTTATGTAAAAACTTAATTTTTGAAAGGAATTTTGTGTTTACATCTTTTTAAATGCTCTTAAAAGTCTTGTGATATGATATGCAATATTCTATTCTTTCCACATTTTCCTTTGTAATATTGCTATATGTCTACACATGTGTGCTTATGGGAATTAATTCTGAAGTCCACAGAGCATCCTAGCCAATATTTGCCCCATTTCTGAGCACGAGATTCCGCCCACCTTTGTATTTTATATAATCTATATAATTTAGCTCCCCTAGGCTCCCTTGATTCTTATATTCTATCTGATCCCCCACGTGAGCATATGGAGGGGCAAAAGATGACAGTTTTCAACTTGCTGCTGAATTAGTATCTGAGTACATTTCTTGGTGAACTCAGTAGTTCTGGTTAGCCAGGCTTCAGAGGACTTCATCCCTCCAGACTTTGGTTTTGGGGTTCGCTTTGGCTGCACGCACCAGAAGACCCTGTAAGAGGTGTCTGCCACTAATATTGTCTCCTTGTTCAGAGATTTCAACAGTGCCTGGTTGCAGCCTCTTTTACAATTACTAAGTTACACTTATTGGTACCATATCTTGCCATGAAACCAATGCTTTATCTTAGATATTGGTGCAGAGCTCAGCATTTAATAGAGAGCCAGAGAATCAAGGTAACCTAGAGGCAGAGATTTCAAAGATCCCATTCACTATTCAGCAGAAAAGCAAACTAAACAGCTTGTATATCACAGTTATGTTCATATCGTATTTTATAGCATATCAAATCAAGGTAATTGTCATTGATTTGAAGATATTTATACAAAATAGAAAAAACTTACTTCTTGTGTGTTGGTCACCCTCTTTTCATCTATTTCTGGAAGAGAAGTAGGTATCATCTGTTAGAAATGTGATACTCATATCTGTAATATACATGGAACATTTTCAAGGACATGCATCAGATCGATAACTGCCTTCAGCTGACATCACAAGGGTGGCTTGGAGCTGAGCTGAGTGGAACTGGGTGGGTGGTTCCTTTCCAAGAGAACTTTCTCCTGAAGGCCTAACACACGCAGTGAGGCACAGTTTTCTTGTCATCTTGGATTCCCTATCTTCCAGCAATCAGGGAAAATGACTTCTGGAACAATGCTTGGTGTGAGCAACCCATAGTGTCAAGATGCAAGCAACCTCCTCTCCTCGTAGAATGTGCTGCTATTTGCCACTGTGGGTTGACTGCAACCTCCATCAGATTCTTTAAGTTTGTCACTAACCAGACCAAACCTGCTCTCCTGTTCAACCCCGTCACCACAGTGCTGAGGAAGTCAGCACCTTCCCTCTGTATGCCCTTGGAGAGAACCAACTATCAAGTTCTTCTTATTATGGTGTGGAGGCACCTTTCATGGTTTGTCCACAGGGATGTGGAGGAGTTTGATCAAAATAGCCAAGTGAGTGGAGTGAATACTATACAGAACTATTGTGTATTTTGATATCTTCATTGCTATATGTTAAAAACTTATATAAATGTGTAAAGAAATCTATCATCTTTCTATAGGAAAGGAACAGCCGAGAAACTATTTCAGTACAACAGCAATAACAGCTGTTCGATGGAATTACTGCAAGTGTCTGTCTCATCATCACAGGTATGAATACATGAAACTGAAAAGTCCTATCTGTCAATGTGAAATCCATTATAATCACAGTTTAGTTAAATATTCAGTGTGATCCATTTTACAAGGGTGTGCATTGTGATCACTTGGGTGGTAAAATGTCAGTGGGCTTCTTAAGGTTTTGATTTATGTTTTAGGGGCTCCTAAAATTCAACCCAAGACTTTTAAGCTGGTGTTTAGGAATGAAATGGGGCCCAATCTTTCAGTTTTCTACTTTTTTTTCTTCTCTGCTACTACAAGACACATTAAAATAGTGTCTTTCTAAGGCAACTGTGAAAACTTTACTTATTACACAATTTGATGAAAACATATTTTTACTGTTGAACTACCCTGACATAAGCCAACTATTCATGTCATGAAAATGACAATTGAGAAAACTCAATCCTGTGTTCTTATCTTGACCCTGAAGAGTGAAAATGAAATGACTTTTAAGTCAAAATAGCTTTTGCCTAAGAGGCAAAAGTACAGGGAAGCCGAGAACAGATCGTAGTATTCTTAAGACTCACTGATTTAAATCCATTTTTCCCTTAATAAATTATTGTTCAACTGGAGAGATGAGCCTTTTCTGCCTCTAAAGTACCTCACACAAATGTACGTGCACATGCACATGCACACACAGGCTAACAGAACACTCATGGGGCATGACATGCAGACACAAAAATGTGTTCTCTCTAATTTTTACATGGAAGTTATCACCAGAAAAGGAGACCCACAAAAGCACATGTAAGTCTCACTAGCTCTTTGCACTAAGATATTGAAATAATATTTAGAATATAACTCTATGTTCTCTTCAGTCTCAAAATTATGACTTTGTGGTAACTTCAGAAGTATTCAAGAATGCTGGTCCCCCTGTGAAATATAAGAATAGGTCCCTGAATTCAAATACTTTTTAGCTTTCTCATTAAACAGGAAAAATGATACTATTTTGAAACAGAGATGAACAAAATCCACTTGTTAACTGATGAGGTTTGTCAGTTGGTGATCCAAGTCTTCTAAAAGAGGCTGTTGTACTTATTCCAGCTTTATCTTATATATAACTCTCCCTCTCTCAAAAGCCATTTGGCCTGAATGAAGACTTCCTTTCTGTGGGAGAAAAATGTTAACAGTCCCCTAAGTATGACATTTGAAGGGATATTGCAGAAGAAGGAGATAGAGATACAAATGTTCCAGAAAGTTTTGAGTATTGATTAGTTAGAAAGATTTTAATATATTTACATGCAAGGAAGGAACTGGGTAAATTCAGGATCTTTGTGGGTATGCATAATACCAATAATCTGCTTTTTTTAAAATCTTTTTTGGTACTGGGGATCAAACTCGGGCCCTTGCACTTGCAAGGCAGGCCACCGAACCGCTGAGCTATATCCCTGGCCCTATAATCTGCTATTTTCAGAAATGTTAATGATAACTCATCAGACTTTAAAAAAATAGTTGTAATAAAAAATTAAGTGCTTCAATAAATGAAGACTAAGAGTGAAGAAATGGAAAAGACCCACATCAAAGCATAAAGTTTCTGAATTATAACAGAGTCAGAGCTTTAAAAACTGAGAAATGGACAACATGTAAAGAGAAAGAAAAGTAAAGAAAGCCTAGAAATCCATGACTGAGGCTGGCAGAAAAATGTGCATCTTGGAGATGAGCACTGGGGCTTTATCCAGTCTCTGATATGGTTTCCCACTCATCTGTGATGACAGTGCAACAGTCACTCAATCTTCCTGCACTTTAAGGTATTCTTCTATGAAACAGGGAAGAAGATGCAGAATCATCCTTGCTCTGCGCTCCTAATTCATCATAAATTTGTTTTAAGGAATAAAAATATGAAAAACTAGTGACAAAATTCCCCCACTCTTTAAGTACAACATGAATATGGTGACTCCCTTAAAAAGAGCATGCTGCTGAAAAGGAGAGGAGGGAAAAGAGTAGCTCTATAGTGAGAAAATGTGGCCAATATTAATTCAGCCAGGTGACCAAGTCCAACACCACTGGCCATGAAGTATGTTGATGGTGTGAACTCTTTGGTAGATATGATAAAGGTGGCTCTTTACCTCAGTAGTCCTCCTCCCCAAAGCCCTTAATCTCCAACCTGTCAGGACAAAAATACCAGACAAATTATAATACTCAGATATTGCACAATATACTGACTCACTATCCCCAAAACTGTCAAGGTCAGAAAGAACAAGTCAAAGAAACAGTAGTCAAGAGAAGCTTAAGGACACATGACAACTAAATGTGATGGGGTGCCTGGATGGGATTCTGCAATCAATGAAGGATATTCAACAAGAATTGAGGAAATCTGCATGGACCATGGACTTCAGTTAATAGCAATATATTAATATTGAGTCACTGATAATAACAATGTAGCAATTTACTAAGGTAAAAATGTTGATAACGGGGAAACTACACACAAAGAAGGGTAGAGAGAACACTCAATGTACTTGCTCTGTTTAATTTTTTAGTAAGTCTAAAACCCTTCAAATTAATTCCATTAATAAGAGCTTCAACAAAAAGAATTAATAAGCATTAAATGCAAATAAAAATTATCTTATTATATTTTTGTTATTACTGTCAGGGTAATATTTGAGGAACACTAGAAAGTCATTACTAGAAACAGTAGAGAGTCATTATTACAAAGTAAATAAGGTAGCCATGGAAACAATATTGCTTTTAACAATATTACATAGAAACAAAGACATAAAGGAAAAGGTAGGAATAATTTCAAAGAATAAGCATTAAATGCAAATAAAAATTATCTTATTATATTTTTGTTATTACTGTCAGGGTAATATTTGAGGAACACTAGAAAGTCATTACTAGAAACAGTAGAGAGTCATTATTACAAAGTAAATAAGGTAGCCATGGAAACAATATTGCTTTTAACAATATTACATAGAAACAAAGACATAAAGGAAAAGGTAGGAATAAAGTTTCAAAGAAAATTTTAAAGTTTAGCAGAGTTTGTTGAACACTGATTTAAAGATAGATATGTTAATGTAGAAAATGAGTTAATTGATTTCAAAGCAAGTTCAATGATAATGAGAGATTTATTTACTGATGGACTATAGAGGGATGCAGAGATACCAATAAAAAGTAACAAACTACTACTATCTACTTGATTACACACACACACACACACACACACACCCCTACTACCTCTATGCATTTACTGCACGTCACATTATGTCTCAGGTTCCTCTTCAGATTTCAGCTCCTCCAGAAAATCTTCCCCAGCTGGGCCCCAAAAGGAAGTCACCCTCCTGCAACACCCACTGCACTTCTTCCAGGCCTGATGCCTCGGAGTGCTCTGCTGTCACAAGCCCTGCACTGGGGTCATTACTGTTTCATTGACCCAGATCACCTGTGCAGGAAGGGGATCAGCCTCCACCCATGACCTTCCACAGCTTAGCGCAGTGGCAAGGGTGGCAGGCAGCAGCAGCTGTCTGTGGGTGCTGCTCAATGTCCCTGTTTCATGAAACAACACCATCCGTTTGCTGCTTCTTTTACTCCAAAATCCAATAAGAGGACAACTATTTGCTCATAGTAGGGGAAAAATAAATACCTTTAATAAATAACTGCTTGACTTGCAAACTCTTTAAAGAAGAGGCCATCACTCCTACTTTTAAAAGGTGTTTTATTAGCTCCGGGGCAGTGCTATGGATACTCAAGTTCTCATTAATATTGCTTAAGTGGTTCACAAAAGAATCTTAGAGGGAAAATACAGGTATGTGACTTTGCTCTGTTGGTTTCTAGAGACTGGGAAGCTGTATGGGTCATGAAGAATTTATATGAGGTCAAACTTAATGCATTCTTTTATAGAAATCAAACAAAAACTACAAACATAGAAATGAATGATTTATTCAGGATATTGGCTGCAGAAGAGCTCTGACCTATATAGAGAATGATGGGGTAGGGAGAGATTCAATTTCTTAGGACAAACTCAAAAAACGCAGACTTCCAATAAATTTAGGTAGCAGAGGTCACTTGAGGCTTTATTTTAGGCAGTTATTTCAGAACTCTGAGGGGAAGAGTCAGGAGGGAGGAAAGTGGAGAACTTCCAAGAAAAATAGTGCTGTTCATTGATGCTTTGAAGATTTCTCTGTTCAAAAGCAAGAACAGTGACAGGTTAAGTACAAAAAAGAAATGACTGTAAAGATAAAGCCAGAATCAAAAAGGGGTGGAGCATCTCTATGGACCATAAACACAAGAAGAGTGAAAT